GAAGAGGATTTGCTTCCTCTCTTCCCTTCCTCCACCTTCCATCCCACWACGTTTTGAACTCCTTCTTTGACCAAATCTGCATGCAATAAACCCCAATCAGTGTATGTGCACCTGGGACCTACAGGGAGATGAGATGAGAGAGCATCAGGCACCAGTSGAAATCTGAAATTATTTTTCCAGATGCCCATTCAAATTATATGTCATTTGCTATCTTGCATATCTTAACAGAAAATAATTGAACGAGTTTATATTTAAGTAAAAATATAGTGTTTCTCAAAGAGTATGTAAAGTAATAAAGTAGTAATGAAGGGAATCGGAGGAGGGGAATAGCTGTGTCAATCCCGCAGTATTATGGGCCACCTAGAAATGAATGGTTTCAGCACRTGGTAAAATCTCACTAAATTATATTAGGAAGGTAAACAGTGCTTTATAAATCAAACTGTTTTATTATTAATATTTTCAGCTTAATTGCATCTCCCTGTGGCAGCTGAAACRTAAAAATGATTACACTGTATTTCCCAGAATCTTGAGCCTATTTAAAATATCGAAAGGAATGTTAATTAAATCTACCAAACATTGTGAAAAGAGTAGCTTGRACAAATGAGCCTAAATTCCTAAAAAATCCAATAGCCATTAATTGTATCAGGACAATCAATCACTATTTAGTTCTCGGTCAATAGGAACCATAGTTAATGGCTGACTAAACTCAATTAAGGTTTGATGAAATGCTCGTTTACTACCTCAAATCATTTGCCAGCAGGATCAGCAATAGATGAGTTTGTTTATTTGTTATAAATCACCTCTCAAACAGCATATATTTTGGAAGCAAAATTAATTGTCCCAAGTTTTATTAGATGGCCAATTAGTATGGGATATTATTAAACGCCTTCTCTGTTGATAGATTAAAAAGAGACCGGAATATAAAGCTTGAAGATCCTTTTACATCTGTTTAATCTAGGACTCAGTTTGGAAGCTTCTGCTATCCAGATAAATTAATCCCTAAGGAAGTGGGAGAATGTTTTTCATCAGTTTAAATAGCACTTCTATGCTCAGCAGTGCTGGCACTTTGTGGCTTCTGGGAACCTGACCCTCAGGATATCTCCGATCTGGAAGGAGGGCTTTGCCTGGGAGGAAGCCTAGGAACAGCCACTGGAGAGATAAGTTACATGACATTTCATTGACCTGTTCATGTTTCCATTCTGGCTGCCAGACTCATCTGTTGCTCCTTTCCAGTTCCCACCTCCTACATTAAATGGAGGAAAAATGAAAAATGTGAGGAAAAATGAAAAATGTGAGGAAAATTTAAGGACTAGAGATTTTCCACAGCCTCCCCTGAAGCACTAGGAGACTTGGGACATGCAGTTTCTCTTTATCTCATCCTTAATCTGCTTTTTTTTTTTTTTTTTTCCTGACCCCTTTTCAGATAGGGGAAAAAAATAGAGCAACGTGGTTGCTGATATCATCACAATTCTTACAGCAAGTGCATCTCTCCTTTTGCCCTGGCCTTTTGCCCTGAGCTTCAGAGCTTTCAAAAACCTGTTGGTTGTTTTGAGGATTTGTTTCCCAGGTGCAAGGAAACCTGCAGGTCATTTTCTCAGCTGGTCTTGGCTCCAGCATCTGAAACTTTGCTCTTTGGGAGCCAGTGCTATACAGTGACTAACTAACTGTTGTAACCTGGTGTTTTATTTATTCTCAATGATAATAAACAGGACAGCAATTAATAAAATGCAGAAAGCATGTCTGAGGACAGCAAGGAGCCTGTAGGTATCTCCTTAGGTCTTTCCAGACCTGTTTCTCTTGACAGCCCTCATGCCCCCTCACACCTCCTCCTCCAAGTTTTTTTAGATGAGGTGAAGTCCTTTTATTGTTTCATGCCCTTTGAGAAAAAGCACTTCTAAAAGTACAGATAATCTTATTTTCAGTATGCAGAACGMATCCCTTCCTGCTGCAGTTGCTCTTTGTTGAGTTGGAAAGACAGTCCCCAGTGGGTCATGCCATGACTCGTGGTCATGCCACGGGACACCCTTTGTCAGCTGGGTGGTGGTACCTCCACATCTGTTGCAGCTGGTYATTCAACTTCATCTTCCATGAATGAAGTTCAGACTGGGACACAAGACGAGCCTGCACACGGTTTCATTTATTAACTTGATCCAGTGCCTAAACTCACCCCTGTGATCAATCAAAACGGATTGATCACAGAAACCAAGCTGATACTCCCGGAGATCACCAGAGAACAGAGTGACCCATGAAATAGCTACGTTGCTTGGACAAACTCGACGTCTTGATGCTCCCTCGGCGCCGGGACCGGGTGGGAATGGGGATTGCTTTTGAAAGCCAGCCACCAGCGCTCGCGGAGCCGCAGCACCGTGCGAGAGTGCCGCAAGCCACCACGCTGCACATTACTGGTCATGAAACACTATCAGTGACGCTATAATCAACCACAACACAGCTTCTAGGGTGGGGTTTTACATGTACTGAGTTTGCCTGTTCCCAGCCCTGCTCCCTGCTGCTTTCTTAGCTCCAATACATCATGTGGGAGAAAAGCAGAAGAGCCACGAAAGGGGAGGGATCTGTGGGGCTTGTGGACTAAACCAGCTGAAGGAAGGATCTAACCAACACCAAGCGCTATCAGAGAGGAGAAGAAGCCCTCGTCCTTTATATGTGCTATTAAAAAATCATGAGCTAAGCAGTCCCTGCATTTGTATGTGACATCTCCAAAGAAAGCTGAAAAGTGTCACTCGAAATGATGTTGCTAATTCTGTAGCTGCCTAACTTGATACGTAACCAGCGTCCCGGGAAGATCCTTCATGCCAGCAATTTGCTGGAGTTTCTTTTCTCCTCCCGACGAGGCAGAAGGAGCAGAGCTAACCATCTGTGGTCATTCAACGTCCCATGGCACTCCACACGGATGTCCCGCAGTTCTGGAGAAGATCAATCCTGACCAAGTTTTGCATTGCCTAAATCTCCTTCGCCTTAGCAAAATTCTCTCCGTGAGCTCGAGAGGTGAGTTTTGAATTTTTGCACATAAGTAAAAAACTAAATACAGAGCTATTCAGCCCTGTACATAGTAGAGCAAAGTTAACCTCAGCTGTGCATGGCTTCCAGTGTATTTAACATCAGCTTTTCCTGCATAGGTTCAGATTTTGCATTACTATTCTGTTCCCATTCTGTAAAAAAATCGGTAATTTCTTTTCTAGTCTGCCTTAAAAGAAATCCAGAGCTTGCTTTCATCTTTATAAACAAATTTAATGCTAGTTAGTGGATTCGATCCTTATCATCCTTATCACTAACAACATTTGTAGAAAAACTATGTCTCAGACCATACAACTTCAGAAGTTATTATTTGTCAGAAATTAGAAGTATTTTCTTATTTGGCTAAGGGGCTTCATTCACTTCCATGAAATCCCTTTTGTTGGGTAGTTTCTCAGAGTATTAGCTGGGCTGTTGCATCTTGCATGGAAATGTGGACACTTATGAGGGATGAGAAAGTCAGCAGAAGATAAGGTCAAAATGAGGTTCTTTTGGCCATAAAATAAAAAAAAAAAAATAAAGCAAAGAGGCTCCAAATTTAAAAGCAAACTTTGCATTATATAAGATTAAAGTGAACCAAATGCTTAAGTACACTGCTGCACGCCTGTCTTCTGCAGCCTCTAGTCAGCAGCTATTTTGCAGATCTGTTATGTCAAACGGGCTGAATGTTTTGTTGTCACTGATGAAATGGTGCCTGCACAGATGGGTGGAAACACAGCGTGATGGTTCTCCTCAGTGCTTTACTGGTAGAACTTTACTTTTGACTTAGTAGCAGATCTCTCTCATTTTGAGCCCTCCATGGTAAAAAGGTGTTGAATTTAGAAAGGCCAGGACAGATTAGGGATTGACTGTCTGGACAGCAGCTCCACGGAGAGGGACCTGGGAGTCCTGGTGGACACCAAGTTAACCACGAGTCAGCAGTGCCCTCGTGGCCAAGAAGGCCAATGGGATCCTGGCTGCATCAGGAGGATGTCGCCAGCAGGTCAAGGGAGGGGATCCTGCCCCTCTGCTCAGCTCTGGTGAGGCTGCACCTGGAGTATTGGGTGCAGTTCTGAGCTCCCCAGTATAAGAGGGACGTGGAGCTTCTCGAGAGGGTCCAGCAGAGAGCAACTAAGATGATTAAGGGAGTGGAACATCTCTTGTATGAGGAGGCACTGAGTGAGTTGGGTCTGTTTAGCCCGGAGAAGAGAAGGCTGAGAGAGGATCTGATGAATATGTATATCTGATGAATATGTATATGATGATATGATATCACATGATATCATACGATGAATATGAAAATCTGATGAATATGTATAAATACCCAAAGGGTGAATGTAGGGAGGAAGGAGCCAAACTCTTCTGGTGGTGTCACTTACTGGTAGTGGCCAGTGACAGGACAAGTGGTGATAGGTAGAAGTTGCAACACAGGCAGTTCCATCTCAATGTGAGGAAGAACTTCTTTCCTGTGAGGATGCCAGAGCCCTGGAGACAGACTGTGGAGTCTCCTTCTCTGGAGATCTTCCCAACCCGCCTGGATGCCGCCCTGTGCCCCGTGCTCTGGGTGTCCCTGCTGGAGCAGGGGGTTGGACTGGATGATCTCTAGAGGTCCCTTCTAACCTCAACCAGTCTGTGATTCTGTGAACATCACTCCTGGATCCCTTCAGGTGGCTGTTGGGGAGTCCTCTTCCATTCTGTAAGGAATACCATCCAAAAACAAGCAGTCTCCTTAATGCCTTATCACACTACATTAATATTTTAAAATCAGTCTTCCCTTTTGTAATGAATCAAAAGACACTTTACACAGAGTTATACATCTCCACTTGAGGATTGCTCCAGAGAATACTGTGGGTGGAGAATTCTTATGTGTTTTTCTCATCCCTGCCGACAGCGTGACCCGTCAGGTGTGCTTGCAGGCAAAGCTGCCTCGCCAGACCCTTACAAGATCTGAAGACAAAGAACTAAACTGATTAAAGTCACGTGCCGAATCTTCAGTGATTCTTCTGGAACTCTGAAATCGTTTTCCTCACACAAACCACCTTTATTGGTCTTTGATCACTTTTCATCTGTAAAAAAAGATCCTTAAATGCCTCCAGAAATCAACATAATTCTGCAGATCAAGTGGCTAAATCAGATTAATATAATTTTGTTTTCTGACATAGAAATGCTGAAGTTAGACCTTTAGGGGAAATAAAAATCCATTTCCATTTTGCTCCTTTGCCATGATATGTTTTAAATGATACATTACTAAAGAAGCCATCAACAGTACTTTATTATAACATACCCTGCAGTGACTTTATCAGACTATTAACTCCAACTTGCATAGGATCAGATAGCTCTAAGTTTATGGCTATTGTAAAGTTTTTAGCATAAAGTAAACGACTACTATGGAGGTTTCAAATACGATTTCTTTCCTGCATTGCATCTTCCTTATTCCTAAAGGACATGAAAAAAATGCAATTGAGCAACACTTACCTAAGGTTCAAAATCACTGTTAGTAGCAAGGAAACTCTTAAAAAGAAAATGCTGGCTGCAGTTTTTCAGGATAACCATCTTGCAGGGACAGGCCTCAACATTTCCACATGTTCAAAGCTCATAGACTGAAAAGCTGCTGGTAATTCTGGAATCTTTTTGCAGATAAGAAAAAAAAATAACGCAATACTTTTATAACACAGCTTCTAGAATCAGATTGACTTATCTACAGCACATGTGCCTTATTACATCACATGTGACCAGGGTAATTATTTGAAAGCAAATAATTAAGTTTCACTTTCCATTCATTTGTAGATAGGACGGTGCCTTATCAATTAAAGTTCAACCTTTTTTTTTTACATGTTCGAATATTTGTAATACATTCCTTGAAATTAATTAAACAGACAATAGATTATTTCCCTTTCAATCAATGAATAAGTTTTGGAATTATGCTTTGTATTTCCATGGTTTAAAGCAACACGAGGGTTTTTTTAGTGATAACAAAGGAAATATTTTCAACCACCCTTTTTATTATTTTTATATTAAAAGAATAAATACATTATTGGTAATATATGGAGATCAAGATAACTTTCAGCTATGTTTGAATGTTGAAAAACTTCATTTAACTTGCTGTCACAGCCAAAGGTGAATGCATAATTAATGATAATATTTTGGAATAATTTTCTTGTTCTCTGATAGATACTATATTGTCTCTAGGCTGCATTTTTGCAATAAAATTTTTTTTGCATTTTACATTTCTGCTCTGATCTGCTTCAGTGACAGCTGAAGTCAATTCTCTTTATAGGGGAAATTAAGCTGCTTTGGTTTAAAATATGATGTGCAAATGCAACATTTCTGAGCTCAAATTAAATTTAAGTAGGAGAAGCTATTTCATTTTCCCAGTGAAAGCGAAATAGCCTTCAGCAAAGATAACTCAGACACAGTTACTCAGAAAGCCTACTTGGGTGGGGAAGAGCTCACATTATTTCTCGCAGGCATTTCCATTTCTGTCTCATTCTGGACGAGATTTTCAGTCTTCAGGCAGTGACTTGCAAAGCTGAAGTCCTTGGAATGGAGCTTTAGGGTGGCCGCTTTCCACAGCAGCAGCAGCCCCCCAGGGTAATAATTCCTGTTCCCTGCAATCCAGCTTTCAGTGGCTTATATCACGCTGACCATTTATACAATCACTCATTCAATTTTGCCTTACCTGTTTTACTCTTCTTTATGTAGTCTTACTTTTTTTTGAGGATATTTTTGAGGATTTTGAATTTTTGAGAAGCTCTCAATGCTCTTATTATGGTTGAAAAAGTGCTACCAAATAATATAAGAATTCGGTTGCTTTTGTTTGCTTTCCTTCAAATACTCTAAAAGACAATAAAATTAAAAACATTGGTGCTTAAACGGCATTTTGTCTTTTATTCATATCAGAAAGAAAATGAAATAAAACTTCCGAGTATGTGGCTGAACTGAGGAAATGAAGCATCAGGGAGGCTTTAAATGACGCAATGAAGCAGTCATTGGTGTGTATAATATAAAACTGGGCAACCCAGATGGGCACGTTAAGCTTGCCTGAAACCTAAAGCTTATGCTTGAAGTTATTATAGCTGAGATAAAGAGCACATTTTAAGATCTGTTGCAGCAGCAGAGCAAACTGTAGAACAAACCCACCAGAAAGGAAGCAGTAAGCACGCCATGAACAGCACACCAGACCATGCTCATTTTGGGAAAGAGACTCACAACGCCAATGATTCCCTGTCCAAGAATAAACTCTGTAACAACTGCAATAAGCTGGGCCAAGCATAGAGAATAGGAAGGTCAATGAAGAGCAAAGCAACTATCATAAAATTTATTGGGAATCTGGGGGAAACAGGCTGGAATTCGCCAGGATTGCTGTAGCATCTCTCCAGGAGATCAAACTGAGAGCAAACAAGAAAGAGAGAGTTGCATTTATTTACCAGTGGCGGGAGCAAGATTTGAAGCATGGCTCAGTGGAGCATCTGTGGTTCCTCTAATTTCACAGCAGGAGTACTGGAGACTACTGAAATAGATGAAATTGCAGAAAATTTAATTACCACTAAACATTTGCAAAGGGATTCATTGTTCCCTGGAGTTACCACAGTTAATGTAACAATGGTACACGAAATCTTTGGGCTTTCAAGAGGAAGTATATGCAGGAACTGTTGGAATAAAAGATTTCTGGTAGGCTAGCAGAGTGAAATGTATCTGCAGAATTAAAAAATGATGATGTTTATCCTAGATATTATCTAAATAGTGGGGAAAAGCAAATAATTCTTTTCATTATGACACCATAATCATAAGCTATAGCAAAACAAAGGTTGTCTTTTGCAAACTTGACTGAAAGTTCTGCAAATTTGTCTAGAAACACCAGAGTGGAAAAATAGCTTGACTCTTGTCAGAATTTTGCAGTTAACATCAGCTACGTTGTGCACTGCCAGCTTTGAGAACACAGGAAGGTCTCTGAATCTGTGCTGATCTCAACACTTCCAGTTGCCCAGTAAAGCCTTCAGATATGTGTCTTTTACCTAGGTTGGAAGGTACATGTGCCTCATTTTCTTATTTTTGCTGGTCCATCCGACTCTACGTTCATCCGTAAGCAGACACCTAAGGGGGAATCAATCACACAGCATGTGCGTGACAACCAAGGACCCAACAGGGGTTCATGGAAGGCAGGTCCTGCCTCACCAACCCGATCTCCTCTAGGACCAGGTGGCTGCCTAGTGGATGAGGGAAAGGCTGGGCACTGGTTGGCTTAGGCTTCAGGAGGGCCTTTGGCGCAGTCTCCCACTGCCTTCTCCTGGAGAATCCAGCAGCTCATGGCTTAGGCAGGAGAACTATTCACCAGGTGAAAAACCGGCTGGATGGCCGGGCCCAGAGAGTAGTGGTGAATGGGGCTGAATCCAGCTGGCGACCGGTCGTGAGCGGTGTTCCCTGGGGGTTGGTGTTGGGGCTGGTCCTCTTTAATATCTGTATCAATGATCAATGATCAATATCTGTATCAATGATGAGGAGATTGAGGGCACCCTCAGCAAATTTGCAAGTGACACCAAGCTGGGAGCAAGAGTTGATCTACTTGAGGGTAGGAAGGCTCTGCCTACATACCAACTGTATGAGGTTGAGCAAGGCCAAGTGTTGGGTCCTGCACTTCAGTCACAACAAGCCCATGCGGCGCTACGGCCTTGGGGCAGAGTGGCTGGAGGGCTGAGTGGCAGAAGAGCATCTGGAGTGTTGGTCAACAGCCGGCAGTGAGCGCAGCAACGTGCCCAGGTGGCCAAGGGGGCCAGCAACCTCCTGGCTTGTATCAGGAACAGTAGCCAGGGAAGTGATGATCGTCCCCCTCTACTCCGTGCTGGCGAGGCTGCACCTCAAACACTGTTCAGTTTTGGACCCCTCACTACAAGAAGGACATTGAGGTGCTGGAGTGTGTCCAAAAAAGGGCAACAAAGCTGGTGATGGAGCTGGAGCACAGACCTTACGAGGAGCAGCTCAGGGAGCCGGGGTTGTTGTCTAGAGGAGGACTGGCGGAGACCTTTCCGCTCTTTTACAACTACATGAAAGGAGGTTGTAGTGAAGTGGGGGGTCAATCTCTTCTCTAGAATAACCACTGATAGGACAGGAGGAAATGGCATCAAGTCGCACCAGAGAAGGTTCAGGTTAGACATTAGGAAGAATTTCAACACGGAAAGAGTAGTCGAGCGTCTGAGAAATGTGTGGATGAGGCATGTAGGGACACGGTTTAACAGGTATAGGTCTTTTCCAAACATGTTTCTATGATTCAATGACAGTAAGACAGGATGTGTCTCATATGTTATTTAGGTGTTTATTTCAAACTAATACCTTGCTCTCTAGAGAAGTAACTGAACCTGCTGGCTAGGAGGGATATACAAGCAGGTACTGTTGGGTATTCCTGGCCTTGCAATGTCATTTGGGTAACACTAACCACCTCACTAGCAATGAAGGACAACCTGATATATCTCTCACGGGGTTGAGTACTGTCATGGATCAAACACAGGAAAACTCAGTGATACCTGAAGCCCCTGTTCACACCAAAGTAGTGCATAAATCACAAGGCACAGCTGAAGAAATCCCAAAGCAATCCAAAACAAGGCAGGGTTGCAGCCAGACATTATTACCTGACACGCTTATAGTTATTGAGAAGGTGCATGAGCATTTTCTAATTGAACACATTTGCAGTTAAAATGTGAAATAGTACTAGTTTCATCAAAGTTTACAGAAATCAAGGCAGCGATGTGCTAGCTAGGAATGCAACGGGGCTGGCTGTTTGCTCTCAGCTGCCCGGGTATGTAGCTACCTGGCAATTTGCCCGCTGCTCAGTTGGTTTCTTGGCTCCCAGACAATGTCAGCTGGCAAAGAAAGAGATTGCTCTGTTTTTGGCAGAAAGGCAGCCCAGCCAATGTGTTTTGTTCCAGTGCTCAATGAAACAAAATACTGACAGGCTGAAATTTCCTGTAGAATAAAACTCTGCCTTCCCAGGCAGCTCTAGTTATGATTGTACACTGTTGTGTAACATAGTGATGGTGTTACCACAGCCTTTAAGCAAATTCAATGCATAGAAATGATGTTTGTCTAGAGGGTGTTTTAGGGCTTTGGACCTGGTAGCATCTGAAGTACTCTCCGTGCAGTATAATGTACCTTTTTATAAAGTTAGTTTGTGATACTTCCTATTTTTTATGAAAGGTCTATTAAGCTGTCCCTTAGAATTCATTTGTCAGCAGGACGTAACTGACCAACTGACAGATAAACTCTGAGTGCAGTCCATGGATTACATCTTTTACACACGTTGTTTGGGAAGATTATTTCGTCAGTTATGCATCATCTGATTCCAGCTTCAGTTTTCTGCTCAAAGAAAAAAAAACAGTGACAGTTGCAACGTATGTTTATAAAAAGACCGTTTGATTTTTCACTGTTAAAAAAATGAGCAAAACCACTCATGAATGTGCAGATAATTCCTTCTTAAACATGTTACTGGGAAAAAATAGATTTGTGAAACTTTCAGTGAATAGAAAGCAGAATTATCACTACACGTGCCACAGTCCAGGGCTGGCCAAGGATTCAAGGATTCAGAATGACTAACAAAATTATACACACAAATTCCAGGCTTTTAG